TGGGTGTTTATGATTAATATTCTGTCTATTTTGATTGAACTTTTTTCTCAGACTCTTACCAGACCCCCTTTCATTGCTGGTTATTAAATGGGACTGTTGTCCATGGGATAGGCTACACAGACCAGGATGTCAGGACCTTAAGGACTTGTGCTATTTATTTAGAGACTTGATCCCAAATCTCTAGGAAGAGTGTTTCAGTGTCAAAATTATGTTTCTGCTTACATTATTGTTTCTGCAGGAAAAATAATGGAAGATGCTGTTATATATAAGAAGAGTCTGTAACCAGTCTAACACTTAAGTTGGCCTTTCTCATATGGAGCAAATAGTTGAGGAGTATTATATTTTCCTTGCACAGATGCCACAAATCAGATGGCCGTCTCTTGACTGTCCAGGCTTCGGTGTTGTTTGGAACCTCAGCAAATATTGTTGTAGGAGTATCATCTTGTTCTAATGGTACCTCTGAGACCAGCATCACCAGCAGGCAAATGACTTTATATCCGAGTTCCATTCAGTACCTTGAGACTAGACCAGTATCACTTTGGCTCATACCTCTTTCACTCTTGGCCACAACAATATTAAATGCATACCTCTTAGGAAATACATTTTCTGCACTCAGCAAATATTTATTGAGTGCTAACGATATGTTAGGTACTAGATTCAGAGGAAATAGCAGTAAACAGACACATTTCTATCATAAGGCAGCTTATATTCTAGTAGCGCAAGAGAAACAATAAGTACATAAAATATATAATACATTAGGTGGTAAGTGCTATGAAGAAAAATAAAGCAGGTAATGAATTTAGGAAGCGCACACATATATATTTGGGGAGGGGTGGGGGGAGACAGAAGGTCCTATATTGTCCAGGGAGTTCAAGGAAGGACTTACTGAGAATGTGACATTTGCACAACTTGAAGGAGGTGAAGTGGGGACTCTGGGGGATCCGAAGACAGATCTCTCATGGTAAAGGAACAGCATGTGTGAGAGCTCGAGGCATGAACAAGTCTGCTCTGTTCTAGTTAGAGGAGGAGTGGAGTGAAAGGGAGATGAAATCAGGGCAGTAATGGGCCGTGTCAAGTAGGGGCCTACAGGTTGTTGTAAAGACTTACTTTTTCCCTGAGTGATATAGGAATCCATTGGAATGACATGATTTAGGCATTTTTTCACTTACATTTAACTTGGTTTGACCTTAAGTTGCTCTCTTTTTTTATCTACCCCATATTTATATCCTGTTTAAGGACTTTTCCTTGACAATCAGTCCCTTCAACTCAAAGCTCTGGGATTGGCCTTCATCTACCCCAGCATTTTCACACAGGGCTTCCTCTGTTGTTCCCATTGGGGCTGCTACTTCCCTCAGCCCACAGAGGACATAGCACCGTTTGCCATGCCCCAAGTAGTCCCACTGCTTTTCTTAAAAGAGTTCTCAGCTGGTCAGAAGTGCTCTACCTCCCAGAGGGCGCAAGCTCTTCTGCTCCACCACACCTTATTCCTCTTCTTGCTGCCATCTAGTTGCCTTCTAGTTATTCTCTAACATGAATTGAAGATGCTGTCACCCAGATCTTCCCCTTATCCCAGAGAACCATGGGGCCATGGAGAATTATGGGGCTGCCTGGATGATGCTCTGCTTTGTAGTTTATTGATCCTTTTCCCTTGTTTGGTTCAGCCACCTGTGCCCACAGCCACAGCTGGGACTTCATTTTTCTTCTGATAGTGTCCATCTCTGAAGTTTTAAACTCTGAGCAGTGTGGAATGAGGTAGGACATGAATAAACAGGTTTATATCCACAGAGTGGGGCAAAAGTAGGTTTACAGTTGTTCATATGGAAAATAATACAATAAGTAATAAATAATACAAGAACAAACTGTGTTTTGTGTACTCACAACTGTAACCTACTTTTGTGGCCACTCTGGATAGTATGGTCTCCCGTCCAGGATCTTTGTTCCCACCCTCTCACCTCACACACAATACTACACATTAACCTTCGGGGGCAGCGGGGGTGGGGGGCGCTCAAACTCAGTCCTGTGATCCAGAAGGGTATATCACTTTAGATCATGATGCTGTAGGTTATAGTACTAGGGGGAGGCACTTATTAAGGATATAGATAATGGAGTCAGATATAATTATTCAAATCTTATTTTTTCTGTTTCTTAACTCTGTAACACTTGGTAAACAGCTCAAGCTCTCTGAACCACACTTATAAAATGAGGATAAAAAGGTATATATCTCACAAGCAGATGTAAAGAATAAGTGACAGTGTAAATGGAGTACTCGGTATATTGCTAACCAATAAATAGAAGCCAATTAGAGGTTGTTTTTCTTTGAGACAAGTGAAGAGGTTTAAGGCTGTTGTATCATGGGTTAGTCTCATATATTTCCTTTTTTTTTTTAATCCTCACCTGAGGACATTTTCATTTGCTTTTTTAGAAAGAGAGAGGAAGGGAGAGACAAAAACATCCATGCACCGATTGGTGTCCCTCATAGACACCTGCACAGGGACTGGAGGTCAAACATACCTGCCCACGGACCAGGGATGACCTGAAACCCAGGCATGTGCCTCGACTGGGAATTGAACCCACAACTCTTTGGTTACTGGACAACGCTCCAAGCACTGAACCACACTGGCCAGGGCTTTCCTTTTTGTTTTAAATAGGAATTTAAATTCTTTGAATTTAAATTTCTGTTGTGGTATTGCCACACAGCTCTGTGAAAGGGTCTTGTTCCCTGCCCTTTCCTTGTTACACTGCTTCAGATCCCCTGAGCCTAGCAGAGCTCAGAGCTGGAGCTAGGAGAAAAACAGTGGGAGTAGGTGGCTTTGTAAGTCTCCCAAGGCTATAAGACATATTCCTCTTCTTTGGGTTCATTGAACAAGGAATATATATATAATATATGTTTTCTTTTTTTTACGTATATAAAGCTAATTTCTGGAGATTATATAGAGGAAACTATTGCTTAAGACCAATTTAAAACAGCCATAGCCTGCCCCGACCATTTGGTTGGGCATTGTTGCACAAAACAAACGGTTGCCAGTTGGATTCCCAGGAGGGGCACACGTCTGGGTTGTGGGTTTGGTCCCAGGTCAGGGTGCATGCAAGAGGCCACTGACTGATGTTTCTCTTTCGCATCGATGCTTCTGTCCCTCTCTTTCTCCCTCCCTTCCACTCTCTTTAAAAGTAAATAAATAAAATCTTAAAATAAATAAATAAATAAATAAATAAAACAGCCACAGGCTTGTATTTTTATTTACTGATTATGAAGATAGGGAAAAGGAAAATTCCTCTCAACAGCATGCCGGGTGTCTTTAAGGGGCCAGAGCAAGACTAATTGCTTTTTCTTTTACTTGCTTTGCATTCATTCATTAATGTACTAGACTGTTTCTTTTCCCACCATTCCACTGAATCTGCTGGTCAGACCCCTGAGTGAGAAACTTGGGACCGGGAGGAGGGGACCCCAAAACTGAAGGGGCAAGGTATGAGCATATTTAGAACCTGTGCAGAAATGTGAAGATGTACAATACAATGAATGAGATTGGACATTTTTTAAAATTGCGAACTATAAAAGTAAATGCAAGTGCAGAAATAAATATTGAGACATATATAACATGATTTGTATAAAAAAGGGCAAAAAGCAAAAGAGACTCTAAAAGAGCTCTCTAAAAAATCCAGCTTAAAAATGTTTATAGAAGCTATGTAAAATAAATAAGTTAGGAAGTAAATGTAAATGATTTTTAAAATCCATTTAGATTGTATAAAATAAATACAACTAGAACAAAATAAGATATAAGTGAAGAAAATGGGCAAAATTTTACCAGGTAAACATAAGCAGAAAATAACAGGATGGCATACAATTTAATTTTTAATAAAAAGCATTTGAGGCAAAATACAATAAATGTTTCCAAAGAGAATTTTTCTCTATATTAAATACGAAGAACAATTAATAGTGAACATTCTATATGCTATTTACACCAACAAGAAATCTTAACATTTCCCAAACAGGTTTTGTACAGCTAATGTGACATTTTGAAACTACCACATGATAAACTAGATATTATTTTTAATATTTTAAACAACCACAAAAATTAACCATCTGGGATATCTTCTAAGTAAATACTTGGTCATTGAATAAATTAGGACAACAAATATTATAATTGATTTTTAGAAAGTAAGAAAAATATGTAAAAGTCTGTCTAGAGGTCTAAAGCTGTATTTGGGGACAATAATGATAAGTTCATCGGCTTAAATGCTTATTTTATTAAAAAATTATTTTTACCGTTCAATTTGTCAAGATTAGTATAAAACAAATCTAAGGGAGATATGAGGAAGGAAGGAGTAAGAGTAGAAGCAGCAAAGGAGATAATTAGAAAAGACAAAAGAGAACAATAGAGCTGATGAGTAAATCTAACTACTTATTCCTTGAAAGGAAAAAGAAAAGGCACAGCAATGTGCACAGTCCTCTGGCAAATGTCATTAGGAATAAAATAATACGGACACTGAGAAACAAGAAACTCAATTGGAAGGAAACTTTTTAAAACACAGAGGACTTCATAATATGTTATACCAATATATATACTATGTTTTAAATTGCAGTGATAATAACAAACCTGGGGTGTTATAATTACAAAGATTTAAATATGAGAATAAAACCCAATAGATGCAGGCTTATTGAAGGTAGTAGATTTTCAGTTCATGGTTTGACATCAGACTGATTGTGGGTTTGCTCTGCCAAGTACTCAGATCACCATTTGATCTTGGCCAACCTGCTTAACCTTGCTGAGCGAGTGAATGAACCAGTGAACGGGTGCTCTTGTGCCTCAGTGTGGCAAAGCAGCCCTCTCAGAGGTTGTCATAGATTTGGGTTAGGTAATATATGTGAAGTTCTTAGCATAGGGGCTATTAAATAGTGAGCATCCAATTAATAGTAGGTGTTTTTATTACCAAATATCTTATGGTATATGGGAATCAAAATATTAGTGAATAAATTTTTGATATTTATATATATTTTTCAGGTTATCCTGATCCAGAAAATTTTTCTTGGACAGAATATCTGGATTCTACTCAAGCTAGTGCTGTTCCTGCCAAAGTATTTAAAATGGTAAGTTTGATCCATATACATGCTCAACTTTAAATGATGTCCATGTTGAGTTATGCCTTTATTTGGCAGTTTTAAATTATTCTAGTTTTTTTTAAAATTCAGGTGTTATTTTCATAACCAATTTGCCTTGCTTTTACTTAAGAATATGAAAGAGGTGATTCATTTACAATTTATTGTTTCTAGAAATAAATGTAGGTGATAATTTACCTCCTTGAAAAACAGAGGAGTCCCACACCAGTCCTATTGAAAGCCCCTCATCAACCTCTGATGAGTGAATCATTCATTTCTGGTTCTCTAAATCCACAACTTTCATAGCTTTGGGGATTGTTTGAATGTCCATGATGCCATAATAAGGTAGGGGCATTGTTAGTAGCCTGGGTGATACAGTTTTATCCATTTTGTAGGAAACATTGCTTTTAGCATTTGTCAGAATACCAATTTTTTAAGTTCAAATTTGAATTTATTTATTTCAGGATTGACCCAAATATAAATTACTTTGTAAAATAAGTGTGTTGATAGCACAGTTAGAAACATTTATGTTCCACTCAGTGGTTTTCAGACTTCGGTCCCTTTCAGATCTGATGTGGCACTGCAGGCCCCGCAGCCTGTCCTCGGTCAGAATTGTATGTGGTGAGCGTCTGCTTAGGATTTTACTTACCAAAAGTCTTCTAGTGATAAAAAAAGGATTTAAAGCAAAATGCTATTTCATTTTTTTAAAAAAACTGATTGTAATAGGCTGCATTTGGGGGGCAGGGAAGAGATATAATTAAATTAAGAAGGCTAGAGGTTTTGAAGTGTTAAAAAGAGTTTTAAGAATCCTAAAAATTCAGTTAGAAAAATACCACTTGCTTGTAGTCTCTTTCTCTCTTGCTTTCTGTCAAAATGCCATTTTACTTTTCCAAAGGGAAACTTAACGAGAAAATAAAATAAAGAAGAAATTTAGCTAAAATGTCAGCTTTCAGACTCTGGGGTTATTGTGGATTCACTTCAAGCTTTGGCGTCTACAATATGAAATAATACCTTTGTTGTCAGGACAGTGACCTTCAGGAGAATGGAAAGATTTTCTGGGATCAGAGACCTAGTTTATAGTTTGTATACTCTGTTGAGTAGATTTAATAATGCATTTTAGAAAGAAAATATGCTTCCACAGAAGCTGGGGAGAAACAAACCAGATATTAGAGAAAGATTTAACTGTTTAGTACTCATGTATTATGAGGATTTTATTTTCCTGTGCCATTTCTAGGCTTGAGGAATTCAATACACTTTCATTTTCAATAATGTCAATTGAACACTTATATGTGTAGTAGTATTCAAGTGAAACTTTTTGCCAACCTGTAAATATTGTCAGAGATGTCTTTTGACTTTGATTTTGTTAAATTTCTTTAGTTTCAGTGTAAGTCCTGGTAATTTTCTGACTCCATTTTCTTTATTATTGCCTGATTATAGACTCCTGGTTCCTGGTATTTTCAGTCTTAGAAGAAACCTTAAATTAATACAGTTTAACATGTTTATGTTACAAATTAAGTAACAAAAGTACAGGTTATACCTTTAAATTATGTTTTGGTATAATTTTATAATAGTTTAACAGTTGAATTATGAATTTTTACCTAAATATTTCAAAATTTGATTTATAAAGTATTATGTTTATCCTTTCTAATTACTTATTTAATAATTTTGCCTTCTGGGTCATACACTCCAAAATTAATCAGTGAGAAGAGTCAACATTTTTTTAATTTATAAGGTTAATTTCAGAAAACAATCTAAATGAATATACTATAATAAGATCCTTTTAGAACCTGCGAGTGATCATTAATGAACTTATGATTTAATCTATCTTTGTCTTAGCTGTGCAACCAAACAAAATTCTTTATCTTCTCAAAGGCTTTTATGAAAATGTATAGACTAATAGGCATAAGGTCCCATGTGCTTTAAAACTAAATTCCATGTGTACTAAAATTCTGAACACAAAACTAGAACAATAATATTTTAGAAAAAAAATTAATAGCACAGCAGAATTGTTAAAATTTGCCTGATTTGTTGCACTTCTAATGTTGCAGAGGTTGTCTCATGGTTTTCTGCCGAATATGAAACTTGAAGTTGTGGATAAACTAAACCCCAGGTTAATTCGCGTTGCTACCATTGTAGATGTTGATGACCAAAGAATAAAGGTACACATTTTAAATTACTATGTTATTACTAGGCTGGCTTCAGAGGTTCTGTTTTCTTGGCACAATAGAACAATAAAACTTCGACTGACCTCATTTCTAGTCAGATGTCTTTGGGTAGAGAGATTTCCAGCTTAGGTGTCCATAGACTAGAAACAACTGACTTTAAGAGGGATTCTAATACATTCCTCTTTGGATTTGATGTTTAAACTCTGTAAGAACATTTAATAGTTTACCGAGAACTATTAAGTCTTTGTTTGCTATTATTCTTTGTCAGATCAAAAATAAATAAAAACCTTTATTCACTGTAGCTAAAACCAAAGGTTATATTTTGAAGTAACAATTATCAAATTTCTATACTGTCCTTTTTGTGACATCTATTTTTATAAGAATATATACATCTTCAAAATAAAATTTTCCTAAAACAAAAGCTTTTTATACTTTTTTATATGGAGAGCTAAAAAGCATTGTGGAATTCAAGAAATCTTCTACAGCATGTCCCAATTCAAAAATTATTTCTTACCCTAGCACAATTTTATTTCATAAAAATAAAAAGATTGTAGTCAATTAATGTTAATAGGCCCTATAAAGAAATAACTTCAAAAGAAATCTTATTTGCTATATGCTGACTTGGAAAACAATTTTTAATTTTATTATAGAGAATAATCAGTACATATATTTTAGTAAAATTTAGAGATGAGTATTTGGCCGGCCATAGATTATCAAGAGTGGATGCTGGCCATGTCCTTTTTCTTCTGACAAATGAAAACAGTCACTAGTCAGGAATAATATGGTATAGTTATTTTATTTCACATACTTATTGCTAATGCTTTATTTTAAATTTAATTTTAAGCATATTGCTTAAATTTTTATTTATTTGAGGCTTTTATTGTTTGATGGCACCTATTGTAGGAATAACTTTTGCATATCACAATTTATAAATTTAGTAATATTTTGTCATTAAAATTAGCATCAGGTTTTTTCTCTGAATTCTTGTTTAACTTTTATTCTAAAATTATTGCATTTATTGGAAAAGCTCACTGTTATTAGTACATCAAATCTTATTTAGAAATTTAATTGACCAACTATTTTCTTGTGATTTGTAAGATGCATACTATAGTATCTAGTGTTTGTTGCCAGCTTATTGTGTGGTCACATTGGATTAGCATATCACCTTAAAATATCTGAAAAACTTCAGCTCTTAAAGTGAATCAATTATATTTCTTATTTACCACCTCAGCATTAATATTTTTACAACTCCAAGAATATAGCTGATCCTTCTAAAGATATAGTCCATGCATTTTCTCCTTATTCTTTCTCTTTCTTGTCAATAGCTTTGTTCTTTATTAGAGGAAAAAAGCTGGAAAAGTATCTTGTACCTTTGACAGGATTTACCTCTGTGGTTTGGGCATAATGGAAATCCCTTTAGGATTTCAGCACATAATTAAGGTGTATTTATGCAAATGATACTCTCTACCCTGTGAAACAGTGCTTCATAAAATGTAAAATGAATTGCTTTCACATACCATTCAGTCTCTCAGAACGTATCAGTCTTAGATGGACATAAATACCATAGGGCTTGTGGGATACTCAAGGTCTCACAAGCAGCTCTGACCTCTTGCAGCTCATTCCTGGGAGACCTGCCTTGGACTCTCCACTCTCCAGCCTTTTCTAGTCAGTCCGGCAGTTGGGTAAATGCTTGTTCTGCCCTGTGAGCAGCAGGAGATAAGGTTGCCTGTGGGACAGCAATTCTCTGAATAGAAAAGACTAAGAGGAAATTTAGCAGTATGGATTGAAAGTCATACATCAGTTTTCCCAAGGGCAAAAGGACAATGAAAATGAGTGTCAGATTTGTTCTTTGAATTCTTTTTTAAGGAGGGTGAAGGTAGTAGATGGAGCTATTGAGAAATCAACTGAGGCTTTTCTGATCTCCTCTTTGCCTAGTATATTCCTCTCCCTTTTTTATTGTGTTGGCCATATTCCTTAGTTTTCTCTTTTAAAGTTGGCGTCTTTCAAAGACTTTATCACTGGCACATAATAGATGCTTAATATACATGTGAATCAGTCAGTGAAGGCATGAATGGCATTGGATGCATTTTGGCATCCTGTTATTTGAATGTGTGAAATAATTGTGTTGGTCAAAAAGTACCTTCCCTCCTTTTTAATTCCTTTACCAATTACTCTTTCATTGAAATTGAATTCAACATAATGTACTGGAAAGTGCCATGGGATAAACTAATATGGTTTTGAATTCCAGCTCTGGCTTTTATTTAACTATGATATTAACTTGGTGGTTACTTAACTTTGAACTTTCCTTATCTGTAAAGTGATGGGGTTAATAATGTCTACCTCATAAACTTGTCAAAATTCAGTGAAGTGATGCATGTTAAATACCTGAAACTGTGCCTGACTCTTTCTAGGTATTTCAATGGTATCCACTGTTACTAATTAGTGCATATGTCCTGTGCTGCCTTCTTGGGGTGCCTTTGTTTTCTGTGTTACTACTGAAAGGCTCTCATGGAACCACATATTTTCAAGTAGTGAAGGAACAAGTCCACACTCCTTCATGAACAAAGCAGAGAGTTTGATTGGAATTCTCCTGGGCAATGCTAATATCAGCATATGTGATTGAGTGGTGTGGCGGTGCTTGACAGTTGAGAATAGAGTCAATCCCTTATTCCTTTGTTTGGTAGCTCAGTGTACTTTGTTATATCTGGAAGCCCATTACTGTTACCTTATCAGGAAATGCACCTTAAATTACAATAGGTGGATGAAGCTTTTAGAAAGTTTAGCTTTTATTTGGAAAAAATCTGTTCTACAAATAAATATAAGGGGAGGACTTAAAGCTATAATATTTGATGAATATTTGCCCTGTGGGAACTGCAGCTAAGCTGTGAAATGAATTATAAATGAAGTCCAAATAGATGCATTAGGGAGTTCTACTGAATCATTAATAAATTGAGTCTCTTTAACAAGTCTTTTTATATTTAATGCATTAACTAGATGTATTTTGGCATTTCTAAATGAAATAAGACCATCATGACCAAGAGAAATTAACATGATAAGTTGTCTAATTGTATGAATAAAGATTATTTGGAATTTTAGGTCAGACTGAGACGTTTAAAGCTTTTGTTTGAATGACCTGCTGGTGGAATATGGCAAAGCCTGTCCCAATGCAAGTTGGTGAAAGCAAAGGGTTGCTGTACTTAGAGCAAGTCGCTTGACCCCTTTAGTCCTAGTTTAATTATCTATCAAAAAAGGAGCAGAATCTGGAATATATCATCTTACTTCTCACTGTCTCTAACCAGGATCCATTTTTTAAATCATTTTTTATTTTTCAATTATAGTTGGCTTTCAATATTATATTGTACAACAGTGATTAAACATTACATAACTTAGTAAGTGATCATCCCAATAAATCTAGTACCCATCTGACACCATACATAGTTATTAGAATACTATTGACTCTATCCCCTATGCTGTACTTTACATCCCCATGATTATTCTGTAACTACCAATTTATACTTCTTAATCCCTTCACCTTTTTCACCCAGTCCCCAAACCCTCTCCCATCTGGCAACTGTCAAAATGTTCTCTGTATCTATGAGTCTATTTCTATTTTGCTTGTTCACTTATTTTGTTTTTTAGATTCAATTGTTGATAAATATTTATTGCCATTTTCTTGTTCACACTTTTTATTCTTTTTCCTTCTTTTTAAAGAAGACACATTAACATTTCATGTAATACTGGTTTGGTAGTGATGAACTCTAGCTTTTTCTTGTCTGTAAAGCTCTTTATATGTACTTTGATTCTAAAGGATAGCTTTGTTGGGTAGAATAATCCTGTAGATCTTTGCTTTTTATAACTTTGAATATTACTACTGTCTTCTGGACAGCAAAGTTTCTGTTGAGAAATCAGCTGATAGTCATATGGGAGCTCCCTTGTAGGTAATTGCTTTTCTCTTGCCACTTTTAAGATTCTCTCTTTGTCTTTAACCTTTTGCATTTTCATTATCATATGTCTTAGTGTGGGCCTCTTTGGATTCATCTTGTTTGAGACTCTCTGCACATTCTGGACGTGTATGCCTGTTTCCTTCACTACGTTAGGGAAGTTTCCTTTCATTATTTTTTCAAATAGGTTTTTAATTTCTTGCCTTTTCTCTTCTCCTTCCAGCACTCCCATGATGCAAATGTTGGTATGCTTGAAATTGTCCTAGAGACTCCTTATGCTATCTTTATTTTGGAGGGCTCTTTTTTCCTTTTGCTATTTTATTGATTATGCTATTACAGTTTTCCCAATTTTTACCCCTTTATCCCCCCTCTGCCCTGCACCCACCCATCCCTCCAGCATTCCCCTCCCCTTAGTTTATGTCCATGTGTTATACACATAAGTTCTTTGAGTTCTCTGTTTCCTGTACTGTTGTTGACCTCTCTCTGTCTATTTCATGCCTACCAATTATGCTTCTTCTTCCCCATACCTTTTCCCTGCTATTCCTTCCTCTCCCTCCCCACTGAAAACCTCCATGTGATGTCCATTTTTCTGATTCTGTTCCTGTTCTAGTTTGCTTATTTTTAGTTTTTGTTGTTTTTGTTTCTTTTATTTTTTTAGGTTTATTTATTGATAGTTGTGAATTTATTGTCATTTTACTGTTCATATTTTTGATCTTCCTTTTCTTAGATAAGTACCTTTAACATTTCATATAATAAGGACTTGACCTTATCTGGGAAGCACTTTCTCTGTCCTTCCATTCTTAATGACAGCTTTGCTGGATAGAGTAATCTTGGATATACATCATTGCCTTTCATGACTTCAAATACTTCTTTCCAGCCCCTCCTTGCCTTTAAGATTTCTTTTGAGAAATCATCTGATAGCCTTATGGGAACTCCTTTGTAGGTAACTCTTTCCTTCCCTCTTGCTGTTTTTAAGATTCTCTCCTTATCTTTAATCTTGGGAAACTTAATTATGATGTACCTTGGTGTGTTCCTTTTTGAGTCCAATTTCTT